TTGAGCTCATTGGATTTATCTCATCAAGCTGTTTGATTAAACTATAAGCATGAAATATTTAGATATCATTTGGTCACCCAGTTGGTATTTTGAAGCTTCTAAATATGTTTCAATATGTTATTTTGAGCCATTTGGACTAGAATTGTATCGATTTTGGAGTGGTTGGATTTGTCTCATCGAGGCATTTAGTATGAGCATACATTTGCTAAATCAGAGTTCAGATTGTCCCATATTTAATTTTGGAAGTTTTCAATTGAGATATGTCTCAAGATTCATGCTGGATTAAGGCAATTTTTAGTGACATATCAAGTATATATTTTTAAATGTTCATGGTCACTAAAGTAATGCTAGCCATAATAATTAAAATATAATGATATTGTACACCAAAATATCTCACTGAGTATATAGTCTCAAGGTCATATCAACACTAAATAAGTCGACATGATAAAGGAGGAAAAGATAGTAAACTCACAAGTACTATTGAGGATTTTGCAAGATCTGTGATAATGTCACTCAAGCACATTGGATCATTTACTTAGTCATCAAGCAAACTCTTGCTCGAACATTAGGCCGATGTGTTCAACCTTAGGATCAACTCAACTACTTCATAGGTCTACTTGCCTAATCTCAATTCAAAGTCACCTTAGCTTAAGGATTATTCACCCAACCAATAAAGAGTAGTAACCTAAATCTCTCTTAGGCCAACAATTTCATCAAAAAGTTGGCTATCTCAACCAAGGATCCTATGACTTTATTTATGGACCTACATCATCATGTAACTAGTCGATGACTTTTTCTAATTGTTCGTTTACATGTTGGCAAAATTTTCTCTACTGTTGTTTTATCTGTAAAAATTCAGATATTTGCTTTTCAGTATTTATTTTATTCAACAGTCTATTTGTTGGTAACTTTTAATTAAGATTAATTTGTTTATACTTGCCTGATAAAATTTAATTTAAGTTTCTGAATAATTGCATTCCAGATTTAACTTTAGAGCATCCGATAGAAGTAATAAAGAGTAGGAGACATTTAATGAAAATATATTTTCAAATTGAAAAAAAAGGTTTGACTTTTATGTAGAAAGTCATAATATTGTGCATAATAATGTTAGACGAAGTTGTGACGACCTAATAAAGAAGAGTCAACATATTGATTTTGTGTTCTAAAAGCAATCAGACCAAACTAAAATTGAATATCACATGTATATGAATACTCGTTTGATTGTATAAGTTTTTTTTTTTTTAAATACAATGATTGGCTTTTTGGGAACATGATGAGTCTTCTAAATTAAAAATATTGGGTAATTTTTTTGAATTGGTGCAGTTTCTAGATCAATATAACAAAGACATATAAGATTACACCTGATATTTAGAAAGATATCATAAGAGCAACAACTATTATAATTACTAAATTCATAATTGAGGAGATTGATGATAATTTTTCTCAGTTTTACTTGATGACGTGACACATCTACAAAAAAGCAAATTACAATTATAGTGCACTTTATTAACAACAAAGGCCAAATAATTGAGCATTTTTTTTTTGGGATTACACATGCATCATATACAATAACAAGTAGTCTCAAAATTACAATCGAACAACTCCTTTTAACTTATGGATTGAGCATTTCTAGAATGCATGATCAAGATTTTGATGCTGCTAGCAATATGAGATGGGAGATTAATGGTCTAAAGGCTCTATTTCTAAATGAAAATAAATCAATACATTATATTCATTATTTCTCACATCAGCTTTAGTTAGTATTGATATTAGTTATGAAAACTCATATTCAAATTGCTTTGTTATTTATTTTAATTTTAAATATGATGAATATTGTTAGTGTTTCATACCATTGTGATCAATTTCGAGATATATAATGATAGAAGACATTAAATGAATTACATAGTGGAGAATTAATAATTTGGCGAGGCTTGAATCAAGAAATAACTCTTATGCCTATAGGTGATACACGATGGGTTTTATATTACGAATCAATTACAAGAGTGATCATAATGTTCTCTACAATGATTAATATTCTTAAAATTATTTTGGAAGATGGTGTAAGCTCAAAATAAAGAGGTGAGGCATATGCATATTAAAATCATTATAAACCTTTAAATTTTGTTTTCGCCTATATTAAATGAAAGATGTACTTGGTACCACTATTAAACTATCACAAGTTTTATAAAGAGGAGAATAAAATATTTTAAATGCTATATCTTTGATTCATATATATAAAATGAGATTGCAAGATATGAGAGATAATAAGTTGATGTACTTCATCAATAAAGTAACTTTATTTTGCAAGCAACATAAAATAAATGTTCCACCTATGGATAATAAATGTGTTTCTTGTGGTAGACCTCATCGTAGAGCTCAAGATTAAATAAATTTATATCATTTTTTGGTTAAAACTTTCTACAATATTATTGATATACAATTTCAAAAGCTGAACAATCATTTTATAGAAGCAAATACTGAGTTGTTTTTTTCTATTATTTTCTTAAATCCTAATAATGAATTTTATATATTTAATAAAGACAAGTTGATTAGATGATACAGTTTTATCCAACTGATTTTACTCTTTTTGATTAGACAATTCTTGAAAAACAATTGAACACTTATATTATGGACATGCGATGTGATGATCAATTCTTTTCATTAAAAAATATAGAAAGTCTTGTTGAGAAAATGATCGAAAGTAGGAATGATATTATTGCAGCCGTCCCAAACGCACTCTTAATTAGCATTGGTAACAGTTGTGAAAAATTATGTTCAAATTACTTTGTTATTTACTATAACTTTAAATGTGTTGAATATTATTGGTATTTCATGTAACCATCATGATCAATTTCAAGATATACAATGATAGAAGACATTAAATGAATTACAGAGTGGAGAACTAATAATAGGGCAAGACTTAAATTAAGAAATAACTCTTAGGCGTACAAGTGATACACGATAGGGTTTATATTTTGAATCAATTACATGATTGATTATAATTTTCTCAACAGTAATTAATGTTCTCAAAATTATTTTGGAAGATAGTGTAATCTCAAAATAAAAAGGTGATGCATATGCATTATTGGAATCATTATAAACCTTTGAATTTTCTTTTTACATATATCAGATGAAAGATGTACTTGATATCAATATTAAACTATCACAAGTTTTGTGGAGAGGAGAACAAATATCATAAATGCAATGTCTTTGATTCATGTATGTAAAATGAGAGAGCAAGATATGAGAGATAATAAGTTGATAGACTTCATCAATAAAGTAACCTTATTTTGTGAGCATCATAAAATAAATGTTCCACATATGGATGATAAATGGGTTGCTTGTGGTCGACCATGCCGTAGAGCTCAAGATTAAACAAATTTATATTATTTTTAGGTTAAAATTTTCTATATTGTTATTGATATGCAATTTCAAAAGTTGAACAATCATTTTATAGAAGAAAATACTGAGTTGTTTTTGTCTATTGCTTTCTTAAGTCCTAATAATGAATTTTATGTATTCAACAAAAACAAGTTGGTTAGAATGATATAGTTTTATGCAGCTGATTTTACTCTTTTTGACTAGGCAATTCTTAAAAATCAACTGAACACTTATATTATAGATATACAATTTGATGATCAGTTCTTTTTATTAAAAGATATAAGAAGTCTTGTTGAGAAAATGATCCAAAATAAGAAGGATATTATATATAATCTTATTTTTAGACTACTGAAATTGACATTATTATTACACGTTGCAACAGTAGGTGTTGAAAAAGTATTTTCTAGCATGAATATTATAAAAAAAAATGACTGCGAAATAAAATTGGTGATCAATAGCTGAATGATATGTTAATCACTTATATTGAGAAAAGAAATTTTAGATTGTATTGATAATATAGTAATTATTCAAATTTTTCAGAATATGAAGAGTAGACATTATAAACTGTAATTTATTTTTTATCTTATAGTTAATATTCTACCTCTTTAGATAATAAATTGAATTTTTTTTTTAATTGCCTATGCCGATCCTAAGCCTGGATGAAAAAAAATTTGATGAAAAAAAAAGTTAGGCTCCTCTGAAATAAATTTTCTGGCTCAAATCTTCTTATAAGTTTTACTAGTAAAATTCTTACATTGTCTTGAACACATTTAGATCCAACATATTTTGATATGTTAATTAACATTAAATATTAGATATAATACATAATTATGTATAATTCTTAATGCAACACATCATTTTGTTTTATTTTATGAAAAAAGCAGCAAATATATAATTTTTTCTCTTATAAAAAAATATTCATGACTTATTCATTTGTGGAGACAATTGACACCACATAATAATTGTTCTTGAGTGCTTAAACTTATGAGGTACATATTGAAAATAATTTTGAGAATTCTTATACATCAAATCCGAGCACCTATCCTGAAAAAAAAAAAAAATCTCAACCAGCTAAAGAGTAATTCTAGCCACAAATTCTAAATGAGTCAACATTATGAGAAATTACTACGTGCGAAGTTCGAACAGTTCTACTTTCAAACTCCAATGAAATCGTTACATATAGACTTATACATCGTATACTTAAGTTCATACACATCTTATATACAGTATGTACAAACTCACATATCATAATTTCATTAGAATTTAAATATAAAATTATATTCAGACTCCGCACGTAATGATTTCACCCACATTATAAACCAACTTGGGGGTCCCTATAATTTTTGAAGACAATTCACTAATTGAATCATTAATTAATTGATATTATTCCGCAGAAGGCATCCAAATTCCCTCCACTGGAAGCATCCTCAAACGCGGGTCCCATCGGCCATTAGCCTCGTCTATGCGACTTCCCGTCGTTATCTCCAACAAGGACCACCTCCCCGCATAAATCCATAGATAAGTTCTCGTGACCTCACGGTAAGTTAAACTCCGAGGGGGAACGTGATTTAACGGCTATGATAATTCCTACAATATCGGACGGGTGGCACGACGTACGATCAAACTGACACTCGATGGACTTTCTATATATTACCCCGGACCCGATTGGCGAGTGGCATCTTTCCGCATTCGTAATTTGGTGCGCTGTCGTCTTCTTCTTCTACACGGCGGTGATTTCTTCCTCGGTGAGCAAAGTTTCTTCAGTTACTCGTGAGATTTTTCACTCCGATCTTTGAAGATATCATACTTTTATGTTGCAATTGTTGATTGATTGTTCGGTGTTGCTTTTGATACGTTTGATCTGAAATTTCTCTTGTTTTGATCGACTAGTTTTCATGGGGAATGCGCGTGGGATTGCTTCGGCGTTTCTTGTTGTGACGATCGTTCTTCTTCCGCTGATTCTCTCGGTTTCTGCGGAAGGATTCGTGAGGGTCGCGCTGAAGAAGAGACCGCTGGATGAGATCAGCAGGACTGCTGCAAGGCTTGTTAATGATGAGGCGGAACCCCTTAAAGCAAGAGGGATTGGCCTCAGCGGAGTTGGGGATGGGTCAGAGGAGGATATTGTACGGTTAAAGAATTACATGAATGCTCAGTACTATGGGGAGATCGGCATCGGCTCGCCTCCGCAGAAGTTCACAGTGGTATTTGATACTGGAAGCTCGAACCTATGGGTTCCATCGGCAAAGTGCTACTTTTCGGTAAGTACTTTATTTGAGTAAAACTTTTGCTGTTGGTACGGGCACATAGATTGGTCATGCTTCAGAATTGGTTATTGCGTGAAACTTGTCTTGTTTTACTATTAATTATGATTAAACAGATGTTTACTTTAGTTGTTCTTTTACGATTTGCAGGTCGCTTGCCTTTTCCATTCAAAGTATAAGTCCGGCAAATCAAGCACCTATAAGAAGAATGGTTTGTCTTTTCTCATAGTCATTCTCTTTGTTGTTATAGTTTTTGATGTTGAGCCTGTCCTGCTTGGGCTATTGTCTAGAATTTTTGACATTTTTTTTGTCTTCTTTTTATGCTTAAAAAATATTTATGCTTAACGTTTTGAAGATCCAAAATGGTTGTTCTCCCTAGAATAAAAAAACAGAACAAACTTTTGCCCTACATTTAACCTGTTGGGAAGTACGGGTTAGTTTCTTTAGGATATTGTCATGAGGTGTAGATAGTAGGTTTAGTACGACTAAGGGTATGATTGGGATTTGCTTTTCACCGCAATCATAGTTTCGTTTGGCTATTATTTTCTCGCTTCTTTCTCACAGTTTTCTAGAAATTTTCATGTGGGAAACCATTTTTTTCAACCAGAGTTGCTAATGCGGGGTAGCTTTAAGAAAATAACTGTTCAATTTTTTTAACAAAAGAATATTTATAACATGCACAAAAGCTTAAAAAAAAATTAACTTTTCCTACGACAGTTTCACAATCAGCTTTACAAAATGATGTAGCTGTCCCAAATAAATCATAATACCTATAGTTATTATTATCCAAGCAATAAAGCCCTTTTCTAAGTATGCCTAATATTCATATTGAAATATGCAATTTCATAGCTATCATGGTGCTAGGTGGAGAAAAGGGCTCACGAGAAAAATATTACAAACATGTAAATTTTATGTTGAATGTGTGATAGCACAAATCTCAGTTATTCTCATCTTTAAAAATATTATGTCGGCAATGATCATAATATGATGTGGAGTAAGATATCTGATATTCACATTGGAGGGAAGAGGAAGCATTGATTTTGTATGGAGCGGGATTATCGTGACAAGGATTCAAAGGGAATGGGTCGTTCAAAATAGCATGAGAAAAGTTGCTTAAAGGGATTGGCTAACCTAGAAATATTGCTGAATGTGTTGTAAGAAGGGGCAAATTATTTGTGAGTAGGAGTTTAAAAGCTATGGAAACACTTTTATTTTAGATTTCATTGATTGCTCCTAGCCTCCTATAGATAATAGTGAATAGTGCTGTGACTGATTATGATGGTGATGTTCTGACTTTTAGGCAGTGTTTGTTTATTCTTCTTGAAAACAATTGTGATACCCAGTACTTATGAGATCCTCTTCCATGAAGTGCAATCTGAACACTAAACATTGAATGACGATGTGAAAAATCTTGAAATATGAATTGGAAGATATCATTAAGGAATAAAAATTTGGAGAGAAAAAAATTGGCTTTCAATCTAATCCGGTCAAATGGCATAGCTGGTGTTTAGCTCTTGTCGGAAGTTTTTTTTTTCTGCCTTTAAAATGGGTGTTCAAGGAGTTCTGGAATAATTTTCTCATAAGAGAGCTATTAATTCTCATACTGTGTTTAAGTCTCATGTATTTGAAACATGGCCAGCACAACCACAATGATCCTTTTCACACTCTTTAAATATTCAATCTTTGCACTTGGTTTCTTGAGTCGTGACTTTGGATCTCTTATGTTGAAAATCTAAATAATTGTAATTATATTTAACTGGAAAAAAATTCTGTTCGAATTGTTTTAATATGCAGCATCATTCATGAGTTTGTAATTAAAGTGAGTTGTTTTATTTTTGTTTTTGAAGTTGCGTATGTTTTACTCGTGTTGAAAATCCTCAACCTTCGTGCTTGGCATCAGGAATCAAATGATTTCATACTTTGAGCATAAAAATTATCATGCAGCTTAATGCATCTGCGCTACTTTACTAAAAAATGTTTGTCTGCCAATGAAAGTTAACTTTTGAGCGCCAATACTTGGATGCACATAAATGTTTCTAGCTTTTCTGTTTCAACTCTTTAAAACTCCTGTTATTTATTAACTTAGTCCTATATTTAAAGCATAACTTGTCTAATATCTTTTCTTCATGATGATCTTCTGTCATGCTGCTCAGTTTCTATTGTTTCCTCTTTATTATAACTTCTTTCTCGTTGAATTTACTGAAAGGCCACTCTTTAGAAGAGTATTTTATGACTTCTCTGTCTATTGTTTGGACCAGGGCAATCTGCTGCGATTCAATATGGAACTGGGGCGATTGCTGGGTTCCTCAGTCAAGACCATCTTACTGTTGGCGACCTTCTCGTGAAAGATCAGGTATGTTCTGTAGAAATTGTTTACGTATAGGTTGATTAATTTTGTTTGTGATATGGAGTAGGTTTTGATATCATTGGTGTTCACAGGTTTTTATTGAAGCCACTAGGGAGCCAGGTGTCACTTTCTTGGTGGCGAAATTTGATGGCATACTTGGTCTAGGATTTAAAGAAATTTCAGTTGATAAGGTGGTACCTGTATGGTAAGCATATCAGTCTTTTGATCTAAATGACTTGGTTTTTCTTTGCGTGCTTATTCAAGCTTTACCTAAAGCATTAGTTTGTGCTTCTTCATTTCTAGCTTTTTCTAATGTGATACATTTACCAGTTCTATATTTAAAAAACTTTTTGCATCCTTCATGAAAAAAATCACATTATCATTGTCCCAGTAGAAGTATGGACTAAAAAAATGTGGCATTGCTGCGTTTGGTAATGACAAATGAACACTTAGATTTTTGATTAGTTCATGTTATGATGGAAAATTGTTTTATTACATACGTATGATACACAAGCATTGAATTATTAAAAGAACTTTCAATTGTTACCATCAAAATTTCAAAAAATACACATTGTAAACTTTAGAAAGTATTATAAAATGTACTTTGCATAATATATTCATCTATTTTAAGAAAGAATATTTTTGTTGAAGTTGCATTCGAAGATACCCGAACAAGTTTTGGTTGTAATAGGACATCTCACTATATAAAGTACCCATGAAAAATAGGGCATCAGAAAAAATCCCTTCAAAAACCATTTTTGGTGAACCAAAATCTGCTGAAAATGACTTTCTTGGTGGATTAGATTGCTGATACTTCCGGCGGTTATATTGCTATAAAGGGTTGGCTGTTGTAAGTTTTTTATGGAATATTTATCGAATTTTCTGCTACATGATTGAGATCTGCAGAAGGCTTGATGCTATTTTTGTTTGGGTGCATCATTCTTATTGAGTCAATAATCTGTATGTTGTCCATTAAACATAGCATACATTAGATAGCAAGTCTTAAATATAAAATAACAATATTCACTCGTTTAAGAATAGCACAATCAAAAATAAAAATTAAATTTACCTAAAAAGCAAAAAATTAGAGTTCTCACAAACAAACATTCACTCCTTTTCTCTTTGCTTTCATTCATTCAACTCCTTCCTATTATCACCTCTTTCTCTTATCTTACCGTGGACTCATTCACTGTTGAACTGTGCATCGACATGTGTTTGTATCTGTACATTCATATGTGCTTGTAGATCCTTGGTCCTAGCAATCACTTGGTGCATCACTATCTCTTGTAACTCATCCCTTACATAACTTTGGGTGGATATAGGAGGACTAAGAGTCATAAGCTATCTACTTGGAGCCTAATCCATAAATTATCCCCTTTTTTCTTCCAAAATCCTATGTCAACAACCCATAATTTGATTTTTAGGATGATCCACTTAAACATCCATCTTTTATCTTTTATAGAATTCTGGCTTTGTATATCTTTCAATCACATTTATCATCCTGTAAAAGATGACTATTTATGATATTTTGAAATGATTAAATAATTAATGTTTATATTTTAAATTACTCATATTTACAAACTCTTTACGATTTGTTGTGCCCCCATTATAATTTCATTTCCCTTTGATTGATGCATGTATGCAGCTCGACTGTGGTATAGTCATTTTGTTCAAAAAACATTAAATAAAATAATGAACAAATACAACAACATAATTACATTATTTAAGTAATCTAAATCTCCTCGTCCATCTCCCTATGTTTTTTGTGGAACATAGCTGCAAGTATGAAGGGAGGTGCTCTTTACTTTGCAGTTAAAAGTGCAATTATGTTTTGTGCTGCTTCCTCTACTTCTTCACAGACTCTAACCTTCTCTTAATATGCTCCAAATTTCCATACTGTGCACATAATCCGACCCACATGCCCTCCGCATTCCACTAAGGCCATTGTCTTGATTTGCAAATATTAGTAAATATCACTTAGAGCTGAATTGCATTGCTCAAAGTTCCTCATGACCTGGTCATGTTGTTGGGAAAAGCTAAATCTAGCTATCTGCAATATAAAAATAAATTATTGATATCTCAAAGTTATAGATTTTTAAAATAAAAATGTCAAATTTGTTGCCTCAAACTTATGAAGATACATGTGAACTTTTGAAGGTATCTTCTTAATGATAAACATCAGGAACATTAAATTTACTCATGATATCTCTTATTTAATATTTTGTTTAATGAGGTGGGTTAAACTTGCATATTTTAACTTAGTAAAAAAAGAAATCTCAAAGGATAATCGTTATTAATTGTGTAAAGAGAATCATATTTAAGTCTTACATTTGACTAGGAAGCTCAATGTATAGATTGTGCTTATGCGTAGTATGTCTACAATCCTTTAGTGATGGGTAGGTGTGTGGTCAATAGGGCTATTTGAGGGATAATAAAAAAGCTCAGGATAGTTAGATTATCTAACAAAATGAGATGGTGGAGGTAGTAGCTTGGTTATGCGTAGGAATGATGGTTTATATAGATGGTTGGTTCTGCATAGAGTGGCAGTGGAAAAGGTGAATATGAGATTGAGTGGTATGTGCAACTATTAGGGAGAGGCAGATTGTTAAATTGTGAATTGTTGGTGTGTTGCAAGTGACAGTGGTGATGAGAGTAGTGGGTGGAGTGTAGGTTTGTGGTGTTAATTGGGCTGGCATCAATCTTGTTGCGCTGTTTGAAAATTATATATTTATGAGATTTGCCCTTTTGCCATTTCTTCTGCTGGCTAAGACTTTAAATAATTTATTCATAAATCTACATGAAAATATTATAAAAATTAGTATTAACTTTAGAACGAGTAATATAACAATTAAGATAATTTAATATAATAATATATAACTGCATATGTATATAATGTGCTAGCACAACTGTGAATAGACTATAAGAACAAGTATATGATGTCACTTAATGATATTAGCATATATAAACATATAAACTAATATTCAAAACCTATAGGACCGACTTATTTGTAGTATTTTTAAACATAAGAGACTTGGCACATGAATCACAATGCAAATATTCACCGAGTCAATTATATAATAAATGTTCAAGAATATAAATCTAAATTAATATTTGGTTTACACAAGGATTTTGACAATGTTAGATACTGAACAACCTACTATTATTAAACAATTTTATAGTCCACTACAGCTAGCGTGGTTAAACATTTTTATAGTCCACTACAGCTAGCGTGGAAGGAGGGAAATAAGATAAAGCTATCTAGGGTTAGGTGTCTTTCAATTTAGAAAGCTTGAAGATGATATTTCTATATTTTTTAATTATTAAGTCTAGAATTTAGTCAATCTCACTTTCTAAGCTGATTTAATTTATATTATACTGTATCAAATTCTATAGTGTTGTCAATATCAGTTTCTAAACTTCAAAACTGAGTTAAATTATACTATGTTCCTTCAAATTCTTGCTAGTTTGAAACTAATTTTCATCTTTTACCTCTTTTTATATGTAATTTTGATAAAGAGGGTGGTGTTAGAGCAGTGGTAACTTGCTTTATTTGTGATCTTGGGGTCACTTGCTTTCAGTCATGAAAACAACCTCTTGACTTTGTAGAGGTAAGATTGTATACATCAAGCACTCCCCAGATCTTGCATCGGTGGAAGCTTCATATATAGTTTACAACCTTTATATGCTACTTTAATAAAAATAGCTTTATATTAATTTAAATTGCCTTTGTAATACATACATGTCATTTGAATATAAAAATGAAAACCCTATATTCAATTACTTTTACATTTTCATGTTTTTAATTATGCACGTGTTATTTGTAGTCTTTTTTACCGTATATTTGGGTGAGTAAAATGAATAAAACTTATGGACATCAATCTCCATTTAAAATAGTAATCCAGATCATGTATCTCAATTTAGTTATGCTTTGTTGAGCATCACTAGAACCGGCTCAATCTATTTTAGAAAACACTTTTGGTTTGTTATGAGTATGGTTTCACTCTTGTAGTCCATTGAAGATGCAAGCCTATCGTATTTGTTGATTGAATGGTTATAAGTTGTCTTCTGATAAACTTTTTCCTTTTTTCTTTCAGGTACAACATGGTGGATCAAGGTCTTATTAAAGATCCTGTTTTCTCTTTCTGGTTAAATAGGAACTCTAAGGATGGTGAGGGAGGTGAACTAGTGTTTGGAGGTTCTGACCCTAAACATTACAAGGGTGAACACACTTATGTCCCCGTGACTCTGAAGGGCTACTGGCAGGTGGGATGCTTTAGTTACCCATTTGATTGATTAGGGCTATCTTTTTAAATTAATTTCATCTGGCACAAGGATAGTGAAAGCGGTGATGATTCTTGTAAAACTAGTTTTTTCTTGCTGATCCTTACTATAACTAATATTTTTCTGAAATTGTGTGATGCAGTTTAATATAGGTGATGTTCTTGTTGGTGGTAAAAAAACTGGTAGCCATTCAAACTTCTCATAATTTAAATTCCTTTGTATTTTACTAAAATTCTTACCACATAATCTAATTTTCATTTATATTTTGACTGCCAGGTTTCTGTGCTGGCGGCTGTGCAGCTATAGCTGATTCTGGTACTTCTTTGATTGCTGGACCAACTGTAAGTTGTTATATCTAATCAGCGATTTTGTTTAATGCACTAACTTGTTTGGAAGCTTCTACGTGGGTGGTCTGGGAGGGAAATGTTAATATTTTCTTCCAGTTCATTCGTTCACGTTTTATGCCTATGGTTCTATGTTTTCCAATCCATGCTATAAATCTATTGATTTTGTTTTCATAAAGAAAATTTCCATGTATGAGGGTGGAGTCCAGGTTTTGGAAAATCTTATTTGCCATATCATAAATTCATAATGAATTCTTCTATGGTGCATAAAGAATACCTGTAACTCTTGGTAGGGATGCCAATTTCGGGTCACGGGTTGGGTTTGGGTCGAATTTGAAATAGACCCGACACTATTCGGGTTAACCCAAACCCGACCTATTTTTGCAAACGGGTCGGTTTTTTGGACCCGAACCCAACCCGCTTCGGGTCTGAGTCAACCCGACACGACCCAAATGACACAGTGCCAATAAAAAACTGCTAGTTTTCGGGTTCTAAAACAGTCAATCTCCGCTTTTTGGGTAAAAAAGGGTCTATCTTTGGTTGCCGGGTCAAAATTGGGTCAATTTCGGTTCAAAGGGTCAACTCGAACCCAAACCCGGAATTTTTTGGTCGGATTCGAGTCGGATTTTCAGGTCGTGTCAAATATTGACACCCCTAACTCTTGGTGTAGGGTTGAGGTTCATATTTTCAGTTTTCTTGTGTGTTACTTGTCTTATGATAAGCCATTTGGAATATCTAGTATTATACTTGGATAATGTAGGGTCATTCTGAATCTTTCTTAAAAATTAATTTACTTCGTTTAGGTGCTGACTTTTTGTTCCATACAGACAATCATTACAGAAATTAACCAGAAAATTGGAGCTGCTGGTGTTGTTAGCCAAGAATGCAAATCAGTAGTTGCTCAATACGGGCAACAAATTCTGGATCTGTTGCTGGCCGAGGTATCAATAAATTTTGTCACTTTCACATAACACTTGCATTCTGTTTTGTATCATTTGCGGAAAAAATATATTAATACGCGCTAAATATGATTTATTTTACAGGCACAACCAACGACGATATGCTCTCAGATTGGTCTCTGTGCCTTTGATGGGACTCACTCAGTAAGGTGAGAAATCAGCATCTTTCTTTGCATCTATTTGAAACTTCCCATTTATTTGACTAAAAAATGTGTAACGCAGCATTGGCATTGAGAGCGTGGTGAAGGACAATGGGGCTACATCTTCCCTTGGTAGGAGTGATGCCATGTGCACTGCCTGTGAAATGTCTGTTGTTTGGATGCAAAATCAGTTGAAGGAGAATAAAACACAGGAGCTCATACTGAACTATGTCAACCAGGTAAATAAACACTAAACGATTATATTCTCCCTTTTTTTTTTTTTTTCAATTAAGCAGTTTGAGGCTAATATTTTCTGCAAGAATCCAGCTGTGCGAGCGACTTCCTAGTCCGATGGGTGAGTCCGCCGTCGATTGCGGTGCCATTTCTTCAATGCCCGGCGTTTCCTTCACCATTGCCGGCAAGACGTTCGACCTAACAGCTGAGCAGGTAAATCATATGGGGATTTTATAAGCTTGAAGCTATGATAGCTTATTATCAAAGAACAATAAATTTTGTTTAATTAATTTATTTTCGTTTGAAACTTCTTTTAGTATATTCTGAAAGTTGGCGAGGGAGCAGCCGCCCAATGCATAAGTGGATTCACAGCTTTGGACGTGGCCCCTCCTCGTGGTCCTCTATGGTATGTTCCTCGCAGGCCATTCCTCCATTTTCTGAAGATAAAACTTACAAAGGTTTTTTGGCACAGTTTTTTCCCAGCTTTTTTTCTTTAGAAGAAGGCTGTCATAGTTTTATGTAGGAAAATTGGTGAGAGTAAGCATATAGTGCAGCGGCGGATCCAATCTTAATTTTCAGGGGGACAACCAACCTTAATTTTCAGGGGGGACAAACTTATAAGTAGAAGTGTTGAGTTTTTTTTTTTCATAAATATCCTTACAACCAAAATTTGTTTCGAGAGCGCTGCCTCTCGACCCCTATTTGTTCATCGTTGTATGCTTTGTAGATATGTTGGGGGTCCAAAGGGGTAGCGCCTACCCCCGAAACAAATTTTGATTGTAAGGATATTTTTGGATTATGTTTACTATTTCTCTTTGTATTTGATTCATCGTTCCTTAGCAGTAACATCTCTACACAATGTGTTTAATTATGTTTGAGCAATTGCCTAAAGACTATAGTATTTTAAAACTTTTAGGGGGGGGGGGGGGGGGTGGGGGGGGGGGCAATTGCCTAAGAACCCTTATAATAAAGATTGAAAAATACATGGTGGGGGATAAATTACCTAAAGAATTATATAATAAAGATTTTTTTTTTTTAAGGGGTAAGCCTTAGGCTTCGTTTGGGACAGCTTTCATACTACTTTCTAAAGCAACTTTCCAGTATAAAATTTTCTAATTCAAGAATTTTTTGTACTAGAAATCTATTTTAGAAAGCAACAAAAAAACTATCCCAAATGAAGTCTTAAGGTGGATCAGCCCATGGCATAGTGTGATAACTATTAAAAAATTATTATCTGGCTTTTTAAAAAAGAAATTCTAATATCCAAAACAGCTTTTCAATAATCAATTTGTCCCATAACATTCATAGCTATTTTGAGAAAGCAGTTGTGCCAAAGGAATCTTGAATGGAGGGGCATGTAATACTAATTTTCTATGGCTGATGGCTGCAGGATTCTGGGAGACGTATTCATGGGAGTCTATCACACAGAGTTCGACTACGGAAACCTGAGGGTTGGGTTTGCGAAAGCTGCTTAATGTATAGACAGCTCTGCTAATACTACATAAGAACGTTTCAGGACAAAGGAAAACACTTGTTATGCAAAGTTAGGATTGTAATGTGCTATACTAATTTTGTTTTAAGACATACAAACTTCATTTTCTTCTTATGGGAATGAATGTTAATGTGCTATACTAATCTGTGTTTCCTTTTTTTTATTTTTTTGGTATTTAGCTGTTAAAAATTTGTATGTTGATGTGCTGATTGTTTCTACGAAATGCTTTGAAACAACATTTCTAAGATTTGAAGATATATTCTATTTTTTTCTTTTAATTTCCTGACATTACCAAATGTGTGAATAAGGGCCTTTTGGGATGATTGTAGTCTTTTTGTAAAGATGATGATAGAGTTGTTGTGTAGGGGTGTAAATGTGTTGATTCAAGTATGTGTTTAACCGAATTAAGCTTGTTTATTTTTTACTAAGCTCGAGCTCGTTTACTAAGCTAAAGCTCGACTTGTTAAAAGATTTATATGATCGAGCTAGGCTTGATGCTCGAGCTTGATTTGATTGTTGAGTTCGATTTTTTAAATTTAAATTATTTTTTTTGTTTTTTATATACAATTAATTTTAAAAGTTAATTGAGTGGCTTAATGAGCTTTCGAGTTGAGCTTGAGCTCAAGCTCATTTAATATATGGGCTCGAGTTCAAACTTGTTGCTTGATAAGTTCAACTTGTCAGCTCAAATTGGCTTGGCCTATTTTAAGTTCAAGTTTGATTGTCCATGCTTTTAGTGCAAACTCGATAAGTTCAAGTTCGACTGTCCATGCTTTTAGTGCAAATTGAATTTGACACTAAATTTAAGAATTTCATCTGTGCTAGCTCTCCTCAACTTCTAAATAGATTTGTTCCTTTGTTTGAGATATTTTTTTAATTGTTTTTTAAAATAATTTTCTATTATAAAAATTTTAAAACTCAAAAATTATTTTAGAAAACAATAAAAAAATTATTCCAAATAAAATCTTAAATAAGATAAACTATTATATAAATTAAGAAATTACTTTAAAAATAGTCAAAAAGCTACCTTCAACGAAGCATAAATAATCTTGACTATTCAAGCAATGAAACAAAGTGGTTGCAAAATGAATTCATCATTGTATGTATGATCTATAAGGCAAGTGAGCAATTTGGGGAGATTTTTATGTGCTCGAGATATATTTTGAGAGGCCATATATCTAACATATTTCACTGAGTTGAAGAGTAACAACGAAAGATTTATTTTGAGAGTTTACTTTGGTTGGTTGAAAGTCTACACCAGATACCAAACATGCCCCCATTAAACAATACTGTCATCTTTTATTAATGTCCTGTAGCCTACCATTACATCGAGAGAAGCTCTCCAACCAAAATTTTGCATTATATATATTTTCCCTCAATAAGCTCTCTCATAACGGAGAGATTATTTTGTGCGGACGCCGTCTGAAGATCGATCATAATACGTCATGTCAGCAGTACCAAGTTCGGTACTGAGCGGTATTGAACCACAGTACCGAGCAGTAATGAGCCGGGTACCGAGCAGTGGGTGACGTGGCGCATTTAGTTGGTCTCCGGACAGCGATCGGCATCCGCACATAATAATTTCGCCTCATAACAAGCTCTCAGTCTCCTTCAAATGCTGCAAATATTGTCGAAGTCCGTCCCAAGTGAAAAATTACTACGTGCGGTGTTTTGAAGAATCCGGAGATCAATCCGTACACGCCATGTTACCTAATACACATGCAGTATATTGGATGATGTGCCGTATCCGTACTGACCTAAATCCTAAACTTGATTAATTATCAAGCTCAAATCATAGATGACTTGAGCTCGATTCCTTATATAAACAGTAGGTCTAGAAAGTCTAAAATCAAGTCCACGTAGGCCTCATCACCCAGCAGGAGCGGTCCGGTCACCTCCCTTATCCTTCAATGAGGAAAATAAGAGTTTTTGACCGTTTCTCTCTCTCTCCCCCACTTCGCCTGCACTATCGCTGCAGCGCGGTGGACTCGATCCAGTAAGCGGTTCGATCACCACTTGACTCCCTCTTCCCGCCGCCTTCCCGCCATCTGAGGACTTCCTTCCTCTCCTTTCCGCCATCTGTCCACTCCGTCGTTTCTCGTCGTCAAATTCTTAAAAAAAAAAAAAAAAAGATTTACTACTAATCGTCTAAACGGCTGAATCCGAATCCCTTCTTCCTTCCCTTTCTCTCTTATATAAAATGCCTGAAAGACCTCAGACCTGAAACACTATTACTTGATACGCATCTCTTCTCTCTTCCTCTCTTATCTTCTTCATTCAATTCATTCCATGGGTCCCGTTGACTTGCCGATGAGCCTCGACTCGCCGACAATGGAGGCCGACGAGGACCGGAGAGTGGTCAACGAAATGGACTTCTTTTCAATGGAGAAGAGCCGGACCGAAACAGAGCAGGAAGCTTATAAGACTCAGAATCTAAACCTAGAGAAGGAGGATCTCACCATGGATGTTAGTATCCATCCTCTGCAACGCCTTGTTTTATAAATTTAAAATTTGTATTGTTTTTAGAATTGATTTTTAAATTCAAGCGATTAAATGAGAATTTATCAGCAGATTAATTTGCTTGCTTTCATTTGTAGACTGGACTGCACCTTCTTTCCGGCAGCGATCTCTCAATGGGCGATGGATTCTTAGTAGCTGCTCAGGAAACTGATGAAAAGAAGAGCGAGGTTAGCATCGCTCATGATCTTTAATTCTCCATCGTTCAGAGGCTCTGTGTATTAAAAACCACATTTGTATTAATGCGATTCAAAGTAATTATTGAAAAATTAGGATGAATTTGATTTATGATTAAAAAAAATGCAGAGTAAAAAGAATATAATGCAAAATAAATGTAATGTATTTGAAGATGTTTGGATAAGTGGAGGTGAAAATCAAGAGATTATAAATTTTATTTGGCTTTAATTAAAATGAATATAATGTAATGTAAAAAATGATGGGGGTGGCTAGCAATAGTTTGTGATGATGGTGGCGGCAGTTGGCAGGCGGTGGTGGTCGGCACCAACGATAGCTTCGGGTGGTGGTAGTTGACGAGAGGCCACCGGTAAAGACAGATGACGATTAGTGATAATACAGTTATCTTACAATGAAAATGGAATTCAGTCAAAATTGACGAGTTTACAACACATCAAAAAAAAACAAGTTAAAAAGATAATTTATTAAAATTTCTCATTACATTCCTTTTCCATCAAATTTCAAAACTGTCCGCATTTTTTTTTCAACAAATCAAACAACCCTTAAGCTTCTTTCCTAAGATGGATATAATATGACATCAAAATCATGATGAGCATGCTAATTGATTGATTACTAAATCATTATTAACTATATAAAATTTACAAGTGAAGATCAATATTCTTTATTTTAATATTTAACACTAAAAAATAGAATTTTTTTTTTGAATATATATATATATTTTTGTCAGACTACAATTTATAAATTCTATTTTTCTATGTTCCTGACCATTTTTTATTGAAAAATGTAAGCAGATAACAGCAATGAAAGCCAAGATGGGGCAAATGGAAGAGGAGAACCAGAGACTAAGAAACATTCTTGCACAAATGAATCAAAACTACAGTTTTCTGCAAATGCAGTTCATCTCAATGATGCATAAAAATAAGAGTACGAAGGGAAACACCAATCTAAGCAACGAGGTAATTATAATCAACGTATATTTATACATAATTAATGATGATTATTTAATAATTAAGGCCATTTTATGAACAAAAAGGAACTAAACAAGCTGGAAGAAGGAAGAGAAGGAATTGTTCCGAAGCAGTTCTTAGAGGGTCGGTGTTCGACGGAGGGGAACTTTAATGGAGATTATTGCGCTCTGAAGAGCAGCTTTAATGGAGATCAAGAGGAGGGGAAGGAGACTGTTTCCATATTGTCTTCTTCTTCCTCAAAGAGTTGCGAGCAAGCACAGGAGGCTACTATGAGGAAAGCTCGCGTTTCAGTCAGAGTTCGCTCTGATGCTCCCATGGTAATCTAATTATTAAACATTTTATTTTATTATTCGACCAATACATAGAAGTAATATGCACTCTAATGCTTCATTTGAGACAGTTTTATTATTATCTACGTTTTAGTACAAAAATATCACGAATGAGAAATCTTTGTGCTAAAAAGTTGCTTTAGAAAGCAGAAAGAAAACTGTTCCAAATGAAACCTATGACTTCGAATTTGACAGGACATTCTTATTGATTTGCAATTCAGATGTAGAAAAAAATACATTTTTAAAGTTGTTCTAGAAAGTAACTTTTTAGTATATTTTTTTTTGATCAAATAGAAATTATGATTGTGATATAAAATTTAAAATAGGAAGAAAGCCGTCTTAAATGAAGCCTAATGCTTCATCTTCCTTTTCTTTAGAAGCTTTTGATCACAAAAATATTTTGAAAATAATAAAAAATAATGACTAAAGATTATTCAAAACAAATTTTAAGGCTTTATTAGGGATAACTTTAATATTGCTTTCTAGTACAAAAACTTTTAGTTCATAAAGTTTTTATACTAAAAATTTACTTTTAAAAATAGGAAAAAATATGCCCAAATAAATCCTAATGTTAAAAAAAAAAAACTAATGATGAGTTAATTACGAACAAAACTTTATTCGTCCTTTGAGTCTTTGACTTGATAATAAATTGATTATATTGATATATTTAGGCTTCGTTTGAGGAATTTTTATTGCGTCCTCCCACCCGATGTAGAGATACGTCCTATCAGAGCTAAATTCACGCTAAAAAACGAGAAATACCGAGCAATATCAAACAATAACGAGGAATATCATCATGTGAAGACTAATACCGAGTTATACCGAGCTATACCGAACAATACCGAGCAATACAAAAAAAAAACCTAGTTTTTCCTAGAAAGAACTCGGTATTTTTTTGTATTGCTCGGTATTGCTCGGTACAGCTCGGTATAACTCGGTATTGATTTTCACATGATGATATTCCTCATTATTATCAAATAATACCTAGCAATACCGAGCAAAAACCGAGTTTTTTGGCGGCGAGAGGACGTATCTCTACGTCAGGTGGGATGACACAATAAAAATTCTCGTTTGAGACAGTTTATTTTCTACTTTTAAAAACAAAATTTTTATATTAAAAAATTGATTTAAGAAGTAATAAAAAAGTCGTCCAAAATAAAACCTTAAGCTCAGTCCAAAA